GCACTGATAGATGCTCGGAAACTCATTCCACATGACTCTGAACATAATGAGGAGCGGCGATAGGTAATAGCAGACAACTGTTCAGACGTGTTAAGGAAACCGGTATTAGGAAACCGACTGTTAGCGAAACAATCTCAGAGAAAGATGGACATATTATTCATTCTCAATCCAGGAGATTGGATCGATGGGCAGAACACTTGAGAGATCAGTTCAACTGGCCTTCAACCACACTTCGGTTTCCCACGATCTCTAGTCATCCTGAATGGCAAGTTAACGTAGGTCCTCCGTCTCTTTACGAAGTTGAAAAAGCTATAGGAAATCTGAAGCGAAGGAGAGCAGCAGGCCCTGACAGGTTTACTCCTGAGATTTTTAAGGATGGTGGTTCGGCATTAGCAGTGAGGTTGACTGAAGTCTTAGGTAGAATTTGGGAACTGGACGTAATTCCATCTGACTGGTCTCAATCACTGATTGTCCCAGTCTATAAGATAGGACAAAAGTCCTCTTGTGACAATCACAGACGAATCAGTTTGACAAACATAGTGATTAGAATTGATTACCTCGAGTGGTGTTTGTCAGGGTCTTTCATTCTTGTTAAACTTTTTCGTTAACGTGCTTTTAGAACTGCCACTTTCCTCATCTAAATTTCCAGGGTTTGAACTTCTACCGGGAGATTCACTTATTGACCTAGAATATGCCGATGACATAGTTCTATTTGGTGAAGACGCTGACAAAATGCCGAGTCTTCTGACCACTCTAAGCAACAATGCAAGCATGTTCAGGATGCGATTCTTCCCCTCGAAATGCAAAATGTTGCTTCAGGATTGGGTTGCATTGACACCCGAACTAATGTTAGGGAGTGAAGTAATTGAGTATGTCGACCGCTTCACCTATCTTGGGAGTCTCATCAGTCTTTGTGGTCTGGTGTGTGACGAAATCTCAGCACGGATACAGAAGGCTCAACTAGCTTCTACCAACTTGAGTCATTTGTGGCGTTGGCGAGATATCCGTCTACCAACCAAAGGTTGAATTTACTGCTCAGCAGTTCACTCCGTTCTACTTTACGGCAGTGAAACATGGCCGGTAAGAGTAGAGGATATTCGTAGGTTACTAGTATTCGATCATAGGTGTCTTCGAAACATTGCTCGTATATCCTGGGACCACCGAGTGAGTACTTCAGTTTTTAGGGAACGGGTACTGGATAAGGATGGCAAAGCAATTGAAGTAGTGAAAATTCATCATTTAAGTTGGCTGAGAAATGTTCTACATATGTTCAACGACCGACTGCCCGGACACGAGATGTTTTATGGTGTAGGAGTAAGTTAGAGAAAGCTAGGGGCGGCCAGACCAAAACATGGCACAAATTCACGGAAACACTGACAAGTGAACTGAGCCATGTTGGTGGGTGTAGACTACCTGGTTGGGGACCGCGAGATGATAGCAACCGATCATTAGAGACCTTGAATAGCATAGCTCAAATTCGTTTGCAATTGCGCAGGTGCTCTCCCAAATTCTAATCTCCTGAATTCTTCACGCCGTTTTTTCTCTTTCCAAATTTATTTCACTGGATTATACCCCTTGAATAACATCTTCAAACCCTAATCTTCCGATTACAGCTTAGATTAATCTAAAAAATTTTACTACCTGTACCGCTATAGGATTTGGATCAACAGTTGTATTTATGTGCTTATGTGGTGTGGAAACTCGAACTTATGTATGTAGGTAGGAAATTCTATGTTGTTACTGACTGAACATACATCGTAAATAGTTTTTATCAATATTTTATAAAATACCATTCAACTTTTAAATATACATCACTGATTGCAAGGTATTTTATATACATTTAAGGTGCGAAAATATTTTCACGATTGTTTATCGCTCATAAACTGATTCCTTGTTTCTAATAATGCATACAATACACGAGGAAAACCCAAGATATTCCGTGCACTAATTTACCTACTGCTAATTATCTGTCATACACATAATCAACGTATACCTGTAAATAAATAGGATCACTTACTGAACAATGAATTCTTAGAACCTTGAATATTTCATTTAGTAATTTAAAAACTGACAATTCTTCCATTTATTCTGGACCACCACTAACGAGAACATATGCAGAATTTAAATTTATATCATCGCAAAGAAATAGTACGTGTCAGGAATATATAATTGAACACTGGTAGTATCACGAATTAGTGAATGAAGCCGGTACGGAATGACCGTCTGCTCGAAGATCTTAATTTTTTAATTGCTTTATTTGGTCTGAAATAATTGTGCTCTATTGTAATCTGGGTACTTTTTGACTATTAGAGGATCGATGTACTCTAAAAATAAGTTACCAGGCTATCTCCCTAGTATCAATTTTAAATCTTTATATTTAGCACAGAAATCTATGGCAGATTCCAAATAGTATTTCAACAAACTCTTTCCAGTTTTATGGAATATTGAGTGGGACAAAGTTAAACCTGCTAATGAATACCGGGATTAAATTTAGCAGATTGTGCGAGCTTGAACCACGAACTAATGTTAAAATAACCACTTGAGAGTGCAGTAACATGAGAGAAGTTTATAAGTAATGTTATAAAATGGAGGATTACAGAAAGCCACCACGTCTCTCAACAAAAATGCACTGTTAGTGCATTCTAGATCCTGAAAGAAGCTGCGTACATCAAAGCACCTAGTGAACACTACGACTTTCTGCAGACATTCCTTTAGACTTTTCAAGGTTACCTTAGTTCATAGATGTAGCAACGCCTAGTGTCATACATAAGTTGTGTTCGGTATTTGTGATAGTGAAATTTAATCGATTTGAAGTTGGAACATAAACAAAGACGCCAACAACACATGTCCTGAAATGATACGATAGGTTAACCATAAAGACGTAACATATATAAGAACTATTCAGATGAAAACTCAGAATCTACAACTATTGACGGAAGAGGCATATCACAACAGAGTTGTTGTGTTGAAGATCAATGGTATTTTTGATCGTTAATCAGGATAACCTGTTGTTAAAACGTTCTACGGAGTCAAGTTCACATATTGTAGTGATGGGGTCCGCGCCGATAACGTAACAAATGGATGGGAACCCGGGTGCAATGGCTGATAATAGATAACAATGACGTCGATGCATACACTCTTTGTCTCCCCTTATACAGCGAGATTAAGATTACTCTAACTTTCTTTCTGTATTATATCCTTATACATAATTCTTCTTTTATATATTACTACGACTGAAGTAACTACTTTTATTATTATCGTGTTCATCTTGTTGTGCTAATGAGGTATGACAACATGGAACGATGTATATGTGTCTGGTCATACGCTGTAGCTGACCAATTATATCAAGTGATCCGGCTGAAGGACATATAGAAATAAAGGTCATAAGACTTTTATTATGAATACTGAATGTCAGCTTTATATTCGAATGACTTCAATGTTCTACGGTCAATAATAATCTAGGTCTCCAATGAGAAGTGTGCTGAGAGATGGAAGAATGTACAGAACTTCTCGGAAAAACAATTATCAGTAGAGACAAGTCGGGGTATTTACAATCGACATAGAAGTTAATTATTCGGTATTACACAATCATTATAATGAAAATATTAATCTCCAACCCAAGCTCTCTGTACATAGTTACGGAACACAGGTGGCGATTGCTATTCAATCGACACTACCAGTGCTAGAAAAACAGACTAATTGAACAGTTACAATTATTGTAACTCAAATCACTAAACTAAACAAATGATACTTTATATTTTACATGTTAATAATACAAATACTAAACATTGTTTACGTAAAGTACTATTTTGTAATTTTACATTATATAAGTTGGATTATTTTTATTTAGTTTTCTTCCGTCTTGATTTTCTTTGGAAGTCCCAGTTTTCGTCCTAACATATAACTAATCTGTTGTATTGAACCGTGATTTTCCGTAATGCAACAGTATTTTTATAATCTTGATAACTTAATGTGTAATTGACCGTATAGTTTGATTTCAACCAGTAGACAGGTAAATATTGCACACATTGACTATGTTGTTATGTGCAACTGTTACGTTGAAACATACTCGCTTTTCGTTCTATAACAAGCTTAAAATCTACTTTGCTAATTTCATTTAACGGTTTTAAAGAAAGAACTGAAATATTTATCTCCGAGTATCATAGATTCAAAGCGATAACATGAAAAAACATTCCGGTCGAGACTAATAAATTAGTTTAACAGGATGGACGGAAATAATAACGAGGAACCATACATGTGATAGATCATCTTATTACACCTACAGTGTGAACTTATTCTGACAAAGAAACAATGTACTACTTCGGAATTTGTATCAGGTTTTCCTTCGAGTCTCAAAACAAAAGAACATCATGTTTCCACCTTGTAGTTTATATGGCCCATAATCATAACGCGTAATCAATAAAACTGATTAACTTTATTCAAAAATAACGATTGCTTATGCATTTTTTTAGACAATAGGATGAGAAGACAAAGTTAATCGGGACTATGTCACAGTATGTTATCCAATTTGATCAAAGAGATTAATTATTTTGAATTCCATAAAGTTCTGCTTGTGATCAGACCATTTACCAGAACTAAAAAACATCGGAATTACTTAGTGCAATCGGATACTTCATTCTTGTTATTGAATTAACACATTCCTTAGCGACACATTTTTACCAAGCTCTAGCCATGCAGCGAAAGTGTAGATTTCGATCCTACTACGACTATGATACATTTATCTTTTTCTTACAAATTAAAAATGAAAATGATCAAAATTTGTATAAAAAGAGCTTAATAAAAAATTGCTAACAAGTATGCCTTGGAACTTTTGAGAGCAAGCAGTTTCCTTGGGCTCTTAGCGACATCTTTTTAGAGAACACGAAGCCTATGATCACTAGGTTATTTATGACCCAAGGTTGGATTACCGTTGTGTGTGTGTCACTAATTTCCACTTTCAAACAACCATAGCAATTCATGAAGTAAATTAAAGAAATAATAAAAAGGATTAAGTGTTGTTTTTATCTATGAACATTATTTAATAACTGTACAGCTAACTAGCATGGAAAATAAATGAAAAGATGTGCAACTTCATTATAATGAATTTGGAAAATATATTCAGAATAAAAATTATTTTATCTACAATCAAGATCAACAGAGGTAATCACTGGGATTAAATGCTTTCATCGGTAGAATGCAAGGACCAAACAGATAGTGTTGTGCACAATTTCCAAACAAAATGAAAACGATAGGATTACAAGAGAGTAATGACAACAACGTGCAACGGTGAAGTACGTCAAGATTCCTACGAAAGGTGGCACGGTGGAGATAATATATTAACCAAGTTGAAAGACAACACGGAGATCATTTTAAATGAATTAAGGAATTTCAACTTTATGCTTGGACATTGGGATAGCTAAACCTTGATTTTCATTGACAGTGACCTCATGAGGGAAATTATGGAAAGTATATGACACACGAAGTTGACGTGGATTTTCTAATAAACCAACACAGGGGTCATAGAAACCTTGGAAATCACACCACCGACCAGGTGGTAAGCGTAAGTGACTTTTTTCTATCATAGCTTGGAGGGGTATAGTCACATCAAACGTAAGTGGACCACCAGCATCAGATAAAGTAGTGGGATCAGAGGTTGGTGAAAGGCAACCATATATTGCCTGATCGATGATAAGACCGGAAATAGACATTTCATTCCGTTTACTTCGTGATGCAGCTCTCCTCATGAGTTCCTGAGTGGACAATGCTTCACGGCGTTTTCTGTTCAGTTCTTCGCGCAGTTTAGCTCTTCGAAACTTTTGTGCAATTTTTAACTGACGAGATAGATAAGGTTCATAGACCAACATGCGAATAGCCGAAAATGCAAGTATGGGGAAAATTAAACCGTAACCAAAAGCAACTCTGTCAGGGTGATCAGACAGAATAAAAGGAAAAGAATATGTCTGAGTACCTCGTAAAAGGCTAATTTTAACAGTTACACCTTTTTGAATGCTCAGACGAATCTGACCTGCGATTCTAGAATGAGCGGAAATTTGACATTGTGCACCTAGAGAGAATTCACCAATGTCTGTGGTGTTAACACCAATGGTGCATGATATATTGCCTTTACCGCGTCGCTGTTGTTCCAAATCACAATTATCTGAATCTGCCCAATCACAATCAGGTCCAGGAACATTTTCTTTATCAATTACACCAGATCCTCGAGGTGGATTTAGCCAAGTCCACGAGACGGACTTTTCCAGTAACAGGGAAAGGCTTGCATAACCGGATGCGTTAAGTTTACTTGAAATTCGGGCATTATACTCACCGTCAGCAGAAGTAAAGAACAATTCACTTGATATACCTGGATTCATGAGACAACGTAACTCCAAGTGTGCATGTACATGAGATAACAACTGGACATTTACACCAGCAGAAATACCAGGGATTAGATTTATACTCGACTTGGGAGATCTTTCATACAAACTAGCTAGAGATAAACCTAAACTACCATGGAGACGCTGTCCAAAAGTCCGCCTTGCTCGTATACCAGTACTCAATCCACGACCAGCGCGACCGTAAGAAAACTGTGAGAAAAACAAAATAAAAATTTTGAACAGTTTAAGTAGTAAAGCGCATAAAAATTTATTGAAGTTTATACAACGAACTGGATATAATGTTTATTCAGTAACAAATTATCATCTCACCTCGGTATCGATTGTAGTTGCACCGAAAATTGAATTTCTGGAGCAGTGATGCCGCCATATAGCAAGAAATGTCCCTATCCCTACACCATTATGGGCTGTCACCTGACCAGCCAAACTTACTGAGTTTTTTAAACTGATACCAGCATTGATAGATTGAGCAACAGAAAGCTCATAAATTGATGGAATTGGAATCAATGAACGATCCTCTGGTGGCTCCTACAACAATAAAATAAACAATAAGATAAATCAGCTTCACACCAAGCATTATAATTACGAGTAATATAGTGATGAATATTACATTACATGATTTTGCAGTATGATAGATAGTTAGGATTAATGGTTTAGATGATACTGTTTACGTTTAACTTTAGGATTCTAAAAAGAAACAACCAACTTTTAAATGTTTTCGTTTGGACAAAAGACAAAATTTCATTTATATCAACATAGAACTGAATTTAAAAGTTAGTGATAACCGCTAATGGAATCTTGATCCGTGTCAAGGAACGTCTGCGCTATGCAAAAAGACTTGATAATTTTACAGAACTCGAAAATCTACAAATCAAATCGACAATAGTCGTGTATATCACATTCAAAAACATCAAGAACACAGTAAAAATATTCGGAAGTGCCTCCTCAGCAGTAAAGTAAAACAAGTAACAGCGTTGCTTAGTGTATTGCTAAATCCAACTGTGCTTGACCGAGAATCTAATCAAACTGGAAAATCCATCAAAGGAATCATACCGAACCCGTCTAACACCACATCATATACAAAAATACGAGTGAAATTGGTCGATCAGATAACAAACCATACAATTATCTACGTCCACCTACATACAAATGCATGTTGCACAAGAAATCATCTTTGAACAAAATAGTTGATTTTATTTACATATGCACAATTGTAGTCGATTCTGAGCAACGCCGCCTAACGACTGATTTCAGTTATCTCATTGATTCAAACCCGATGGTCCGGATCTATTATTATTATTATTATTAATGGCTTTATTCAATATTATATTTTGGTACAATATAGGATTCTCAGCACAGGGTATTTCAACAAGTTACTTACTGAACAACGAACAAAACGGCAGTAGCAAATACAAAAAGAAATAAAAAAAATATTAAAAAAAACAAAAAAACTGTACAAAATTAATGACATGTTAAGAATGCAAGTTATTGAATAGGTTAACTCTAACAACCTGTTCGTCACAGAGTATATTTGCTAGGTAAGGTATTATAAAACTTTTATACTTTTCCTTGCGTGCATGGAATTAAATGTAATTACGTCTCGTTCTACCAGAAGATATACAAGGAGAAAGATAAGAGTGAAGGGGATGGCTAGTATCTGATAAAATAACACCTGACAGGAGTTTGCATGATTTTAAATGTCTATCCACAACCATATTAATTATGACCTGGAAAGATTCACCACACATCTTGCTAACTGCCTTCAGCACTCTTCGCAATACAGCAAAGTCTTTTCTCAAAAGCCCGGGAAAGAATAACGGAGGACAGTAAAGAATAATAGGTAATATGCAAGAATTGACAAATTGTAAGAGTAAATGACGAGTAATTCCAAGAGCATGCAATCTCTTTATGTAGTAGGTCATATGGAAAACCTTCTTCGATAACAATAAAACGTGGGAAGACCAAGACAGATCAGAGGAAAAGGTGACACCAAGATAATTGACCTTCGACACTGAGTTTATCAAAGAGTCTCCGATGGTACAAGCATTATGGGATCTCAAAATAGTGTTTATATTCCGTTCATATCTCATGCTAAAGTTAACAGCTTGACATTTAGACGGATTAAGTATGAGACCATTACCAACAGACCAACAATCAATACGAGACAAAAACTCATTCATTTCTATGTGATGTAAAGAGGAAGAGATAGGCATACATACAGTGAGATCATCCGCATATTTCACAAAAGTGTTTTCTGTGGAAGATGGCAGATCATGCAGAAAAAAAGGAGAAAAGAAGAGGTGAAAGAACAGCTCCTTGCGGTACACCTTCATGAGACAGTAGAGACTCTGAACACTTTCCTCCAACTACAGTATACTGTTCCCTTCCAGAAAGGTAGAAACATAGCCAGTTGATTATCCAGCTGTCAGTGTTGACGCTGATTAACTTGTCAAGTAAACGTTGTCTTGGTATAGAATCAAAAGCTGAAGTATAGTCCAGAAAATCACATAGAACATACTTCTTACCCTTTTCTAAGTTGAACACTATGTTGTGATGCAGAACAGCAACAGCATCTCAAGTGCTTCTTCTGCGCCTGTATGCAAACTGGTGTGGGTCAGTATGCTCTTTTATCGTAGGCTGAAGTGGAAGTATTAATAATTTTTCCATGGTTTTGAGGAAGGGTGAAGCTATTGCAATAGGTCTAAATTTTACATTCTTATCACCAAATGCTTTCTTGGGTACAGGAATTATCTTCATCTTTCTCCACATTTTCGGTATGAGATTAGATGAGAAGGATCTATTAAATATAGTTGTGAACGGATGACACAGAACGTCAGCACATTTTTTAAAAAGGATGTTTGGGATACCATCAGGTCCCAAACATCGAGATGAATTAAGCGACTGGAGACATCCTCGGACATCAGTTTCAGTGAAAGTAGGAACACAGCTATTTTTTAAATCCGTGGATAGAGGGAGCATCACATCAGATGACTGACGTGCAAAAGACTTATTTAAGTCACAAACACTCAGCTGGTTATCGCTTCTAAACTTTCTGTCACCTGTAAGTTCTTTAAAGAATTTCCACATACTTGGAGAGTTTTTGCAAGATAAGAGTTTTTGAGTAAACATACAGTTGAGACGTCTAATCTCTAGGTTTATCTACTGATAGAGCTAAACCCAATAGTCAATAATTTCGTGAACTGATGTCATCTTTTGGTTTAGCTGAACCCTAGCTTTCTTCCAACCTCAGCAAACATTGTGAGTTGAGGTGGGTGGTGTTTAGATGCAGGCAATACATGTCCTAAAAATATCAGTCAATGAAGATTTACATTACTATCGACTGATTCAGCACATCTGTTTATTACAATACGTTTAGCCTCGACACTGATCACTTGGACGTATCAACATACACGAAAAGTGACTTGAAACGATTTATGACCAAGAATTTGACGTCTACACAATCCTCCTGACTTGCCTAATATGCTTCACGAACTTTCACAGATAAGAGAATAAAATCAGATGTTCTATACCTTTATCCTAAGCAGTTTCAACATAAACAGTAAAGGATGGAAAAATTTTGAGGACCTATCCAATGTCTATTATATCAACTAACCTTCAAATAACGATCAAAAACATCCGTTAAATCTAAACCAAGAGAAAATTCCGAGGTTGGTTGTGTCAACTGAAGTTGCTTTGAAACTCGAGCTTTTTCTTTCAAAAGAAGATATTCCAAACGAAGTTCAGGTGCTGATTTTTGAAAACTCGCTATTTGCCACCCCTGCATTTGCAACCCTACAAGGTGTTGGAAAATAGGTTGATTGTAGCGTTTTGATTCACATAATCCATAACAATTACTAACAAGAAAACCACCTAAATCTTTTTTGAAATCGTTCGATAATTCTGGATGAAAGACTGAGGTGAACATGGCATTACATCAGACTGACGTCTGAATAGAGATATGGATACAAACGTAGTTTACGCTAAATAATATTGTCAGGTAAATAGTACAATAGGAGATTAAGAAATCCATAAGATGGGTATGGTTAAAGGTGAATTCTGTACAAAAATAAGTGTAAAACTTGAATGTAGTGAATTTTTTACGCAGAAACCAAATAAACTTTTGGGCAAATAACTGTGGATGTGACAGTTTACTCTGGCTAAAAGAAATAGATACTTTGGCAGCAACATAATAAAATAGGAAGCTATTTATAAACAGAAATAATTAGGAATACAGTGTATGATTTTCAATTCTACTTCGATGTTCGTCTCGATAATTTCTTTTTGTGTGTGTCGCTACGTGAACACTTGAGGTGATATAGATATATCCCGCGTTCTATTTTACTTGTGACTGAATTGTACTGATAAATTTGGACATTGGATATAATTTCTCATGGTTAAATATGAGTTATGTACAATAAACATAAAAATTCCTAATCACAGCAATCGAACGATACTGTGATACTGAGCTGGGACTAAAGCTGTGCGATTAACTCACCTTATTTGAAAGTCAGAAATATGGCTGAATATCAACAAAAGACTTGATATACATAGTTGAACAATCTACATAACAAAATTACTTTATTAGTTTAAATTTCTGAGATCCTTAAGATTCTAAAACGTATGTATATATTTATTTTGAATTTTCGAGTATTTAAGAACCCAGATTAGTCTAATGTCATTTACATACCATAATTATCAATGTTACTCGAGAGTCAGTCAGCAACAAGGTAGGACCAGGCACATGTGTGGATCGGTCCGAGTTGCCATACCTCATTAGCACAGCAAGACGAACACCGAATTCATAGTAGTTAATTCAGTGGTGGTAATATATAGAAGAAGGGTTGCATATGAGGACATAGTACGGGAAGATAGAATTAGTTCGTAGAAAGAAAGATATAAAGTGATTTTAATCTCATAGTTTAAAGAAAGATAAAAGAATGTATACACCGACGCCATTGTGATCGGTTCTGAGCCATGTCACCCAGAGTCTCCAACCATTGGTTCTGATAGTTACGCGGACCTCAACCAAGTAGTCTTCATCTACCAACATGGCTCAGACTAGAAGTTAGTGACTTTGTGGACTGATCGCACGTTTTGGTTCGGCCGCCCCTAACTTCCTCCCAACCATCTCCAACACTAGTCAGCATTGCGCGTTGTGGCAATCGGTGTCCAGGTATACGCAACATGTGGCCCAACCATCTCAGTCGATGAAGATTCACAACCTCATCAACTGATTAACCATCATTCCCCAATACCCTGTGTCTAGCCTCACTATTACTTACCCGGTGATTCCAGCAGACGCCAGCAACATTTCTAAGGCATCTGTGGTCAAATACTAGTAGCTTACGGGTATCTTCTACTCTTAATGGCCACTTTTCGCTGCCGTAAAGTAAAACGGAACGAACTGCTGTGCAGTATACTCGTCCCTTAATTGATAAGTGGATACCTCGTCTTCGTCATATGTGACGTAATTTGGCAAAAGCCAAACGAGCTTTCTCAATCCGTGAAGAGATTTTGTCAGACAATAACCTATTAGGGCTGATCAGACTGAAGATAAGTGAAGCTGTAAACGCGTTCGACTACTTCACTCCCTATCCTTAGTTCAGGTGTTGACGGAGGCCAGTTCTGAAGCAACGACTTGCATTTAAAGGGGGCGAAATGCATCCCAAACATCCTGGCATTTTTGCTCAATGCTACTAAGACTTCATTTTATTAGCGTCGCCATGTTAGACGATGTCTCTCCTTATGCTCAAAATTAGTGCTTGCTAAAATTAAACGACTGTCTGAGCACAGTTCAGCAGAAGGTCACCATTATCTGTTCGCTGAGTCGGACTACCGAAATTCCTACATAAATGTCTTTTTGCTTGGTTTAAGCTACCTACCTGGGCATTAAAGTCACCCCCTACGAGTACTATGTCTGTGCGTTCAGCTTTTCTGATGAAGTTTAGAAATCTTTCTGTAAAAGTAATTTTTCAATTTATCCGGGCTGCAGTCAGTGGGAGCGTAGCAGATACAGCAAAAAGGCGACGACGTGTGTCCCTATCCTCACGAGTTTTTACGGAGCCACTTAGCCGAACAGCAAATAGGCGACTGTTATCAGAGATCTACTATAATAGTGCTTGTTCCGCCCTCACACTTAGTGATACGCCTACAGCTACCAGTCCACGAGAACTAGTCGTCGGATCGCCAGATACACGAAGAGTGTATCTCGTTGGCTTTCCCTTTTTGTCGAGGTGAGGTCAAGTGAATGACCACACTAGGATCCTGTATGCGTGTTTCGGAGACAGAATACATCAATGGTATGAGATTCTAGAATCTCAGTCAAGTAGACCTGTTGGCTGATTTGACACAGTGCGTGTACGTTGAAGGCTCCAATGTGTAGTTTGGAGCGAGGTTTTGGTACAACTATGAGTGTTTTGCGCACTAGAATCGTTGGCTATGATGACACTTGAAGTCAAAAGACGAAGTGCAGAGTTGAGAGTCGATGTGGGAGGAATAACAGGAATTGAAGAGGGAAACTGATTATGAATAAAGTTATCTTGGGTGCTGTTAAAGGTATGAGGGCGGTTATCAGCTCCCGGTTGCCCACATCGTGGAAGAATTCTTCTGGAGGCATATGAAAAGGAAAGTGGGTTAGGAGTGATCTTAGTGACCTGAGAGCGTAACCGCAGTGCCCAAGGGACAACTGCCTGAGGTCCGTACCACACGACCTTTTTGTAAGAAATTTTCGTATTAGCTTCGTACTTGTTGAGACCTTACCGCCTAAGACGGATATCCGTTGGATAAGACGATGTGTGTATTTTTAGGGTCGATTTTTTCCAAACCCACCCTTCCTTGTGGGAAGGCAGCATCGCTGCTATGCTAGTTGTCTGAAGGAAACACCTTACTGCCATCACACCTCTGTACAGTCAGCAGTACGACTTCACCTTCAGACCTTGGGTTTGCTACTTTTAGTCTCACCGCTCTCCAATCGACCTGCTTGGCATGGCAGGAGCTTGAGGAACGATTGTCAAAGTCAGTGTAGCTCGATTTGTTCATGATAGGCAAGCCCGATTTCACTCGAGAAAATTATCCTGGTAATTTACACAATATGAATACGCTATCGAAGTAATATTCCTTCTTAATGTTTGAAAACCCGTCAAAACACATGTGAAGTGAACGAATATCTTAAACAATATATGCTAAGGTACTATAGTGAATTGTCTTATTTTTAATTATTTATTTCATCAGTATAAATAAAACGGGCGCAAAATCCACTTGACTAACCTCTATAACCAAAACTATCATAAATAGCACGTTGTTCAGGATTGCTTAAAATCGCATAAGCTGAAGCAATTTGACTGAATGCAGCCACCGCATCAGATGGATTTGAATTAATTTTCTCATTATCTTCTGGTGTCGAAATAGAATGCTTATCCGGATGGAACAACAGGGAAAGACGTTTGTATGCCATGCGCAGATCAGCTGCCGATGCATTTTTGTCAACACCCAATACGGAGTACAGATCGATGTTCTCATGTTCATTACCTTCAATATCTTCTAAAAGATTAATGAATTCGGGATCGACTGGTTCATCCGAATCATCTGCAGAATCAACAACTTCATTTCCTTGATAAGAACTGTCATCAAATTTTGAGTTATGGTCTGCGTACATGTATGGGACAGAAGATTAACAAAATTAGTAATATGATTCCCAACACAACAGCGTCAGTTTGAATCTTTAAACAAGAAAGAACCGAAATATATGTGATATATAAGAATGTAGATTTACAAATGGCAATTCTTTGTAAGGCATCGTTAACTAGCTTATCAACAACTTCAATTAAACCTATAACTCACACTACTGTGTGAGGAGGCTACCGAATAACCTTGAAAAATATTAGTTTTCTGAGCACTAATGACCATTTAACCACAACATTGATTCCCAAGCATCGATGATGTGTAATCAGATAATTATAATACTAATACTTAGTAATTCTTCATGATCATAATGTACGTATCTCAAACAATTCATAAAAATAGTTCACTAAAATGTACACACTATTTTTAATTTAGGCATAGCATAAAAAACAAAATAAATGGATTGATGATATGCACATATGTGCCTGGTCTTACGTTGCAGCTGACTGACTGATTTGGAGACGATTATCAAACACTAGCCATCAAGATGTCATTGATACTATTTCTATACAAAAGAAATCAGGTTACGTAGGCTTAATCGGTAAAACCAAAATTTGACCACATGAACAAGGGTGAATACAACCACTTTTGGCCACGAAATATTAACTTATAAAAAGTGCAATAAAGACTCATTGTGTTCATAAAGATTTTCGTGTTGTTAAACTGAAATACACGTATTCGGACGCGATGGTTTTCGAAACGAACGGTAATGGGTTTGAGTCCTGAATTGAACACCAACTCTGGGACGCAGGCACATCCAGATGAAAGGTCCAAAATAAGACGAATTGAATGCCCTGGACATTATTGCTAGCCATCATCCATTTCTGCTCATAAAAAGTTACATGTTGCGAGCAATCCTTCAGAACGAGACCTGTCAAACATATTCATCACACTGACGATACTATTTCTTTGCTTCATAACTACTATTTTTAACTTAATTTCTGCAAATATAATACGGCGCATTGTAACATATTTATTTAGGTATTCAAACAATCAGGCTTTAGGAAGAAGCCAAAAAATGAACATGGCTGAAGAACCATTTGAAACCAGGAAAAAAGCGCAGATTTTTCACAGTAATTTATTCGAAATATAAATTACAATGAGATTATCGAGAAGCCAACAACACGAATGCAGTCAGGAACCTATCATTGTTATTATTAATGGGTTTATTGTATTATTTATTAATCTTCATCCATAGCTCCTGGTTGACGAGGTTTCGGTCCACCAGCTGGGCGTGCCATAATAATCTGAAAAGTTTTCCGAAACAAGTGAGTTAAAAAACAGGCATAGACTAAAGGGAGAGACAGATTAATCTTCTGGAAATCTGAAATCAGATATACATCAACTAATAGTATCTCAGTGGTCTAATAACCATTACAGAATGCAACACATTGTCAGTATGAATAATTCAAGAGGGATATATAGATGATAGACAGTTTATTCTATGCATTGATAATGGTGGTATAACAGAAGCATGAAATGTACTGCTTAAGGGTTAATTCAACTATGTATGTGGTTACTGAGCTGTTTCTGACACAAATATAGGAGTGCTGTGGAATTCGAATATCAAAAGAAATATGACTAATTAGATATGAACATTTTTCTAGCGATCAACACTCGTAAATTTGAGATTACTCTTTTATAGTTTGCTTATAATTTATTTTTACCACTACAAATAATAAGTCAAATCTCTATTCTAAACTCAAAGGGACAAGTATTGAGCGGAACGAAAACTACGTTTTGTAAGAAAATAGATTTTTTAACTAAAGGCATCAAAGTATTTGTAAATGTATTCATTATCAATCGATTTAACACTTGCTAGATTAATATATTTACATGAATACACCTACATTTGATAATTTATTTTAAAATGTTTACCTGATCGACGCGGAGTATAGTGTTCGCAGCATTTGTCGCAAGTCGAATAGCCCAATGTTTTAAAAGATGGAGATCCAAAACCTCGAATTTGACAGAATCGTTAACAGATACTTCACCATTTGGTTGAGTGACTAAACCAGTATGTATTTGACCAGATTCATGTTTAGCGTACAAAATAGCAACTATTTCAGTGATCTTATAAAAAGACAGATGAAAAGAAAAAAATCTTTGTCAGTATGAGGTTGACGAGATTGTAGAATGTTACTAAAATTATGAACCGATTTAAATTGGAAAGCTATTGAAAACCTGAAAGCACTGGACAGCTGTTTCGTGCATGTGAATAAGTAACAACACTCTCATTACAAAGAGCTGTCTGTTACAATGTTTACAGATTGGTTCAAAACACTGGGGATTACTGTCGCATGAAAATAGAGTACCTTTATACACAAAAACCAATTCTTGATGTGCCCGATAAAGCAAAAACCAATAAAATTACGAGACAGTTATTGTGACACTAGCTTTATTTATATGAACTTGTAGTAAAAATTAGACAAATATATTAAAGCTCACAAACCTTCTGTCCAGAGTTTTCGGCAAGTACTTTTACAACAACCTCAAAAGCCCGAGCAAACTCTCTGATAGCATACTGTTCAAGACCAGGTACTGTACCAGCGTACGATACGAGGCGGCGAGCCAGCTCTATTTCCGTTGCTCCGGCACCTGCAACCAATTTAGGACTACGCGTAAGGCATTTGAATGTGTTGACACCATCATCAATAGCACGTTCAACATCATCCATTATGTTTTCCGTACTTCCCCGAATCAATAATGTAACGACGGTTCCCTCATGTGTGTCTGTTATAAATCAGAAATAGAAATTATTAACTGTGACTGTAGTAATCAGAACTTTTTAAAATCAGGTAGAATGATATCCCAGTGAACTTACCTTGTTCGAAAATAACTACACTTGCGTCAGCTATTTCGTCCGAATAAACATGACTAATGGTCCCAAGTTCCTCAGGAGTGGGTGTTACTAACTGAGGGAGAGCTGACGCACCGGTTGCTTGACAGAGACGTCGAACATCAAACTTGCTGCTGAGCTTTACTACCATCATATTCAATTTGTTGGCGTAATGTAGTGCCAATTCCCCAACTTTGCCTCCACTAACGATAACTTTCACTCCAGCATCCGAAAGAGAACGCATATGCTGAAAAAGTAATATTAGTGACAAGTGAGTAAATTACAAAAGGTAATAAGAGTTATAGGTTCCGACTGTATCTACAGTTTATAATGCTAGTAAGGTGTGAAAGTTATAAAGAAATAAATAAAACAATCTAAAATGGGTTGGTAAAAGTATGCTTTTTGTTTGCGGTTGAAAGACGGCTCAGAATAAGTAACATTTTTGGTCTACAGTATTATGATTTTGCAAGTGAAACTTAAAAATTTTGTCGTAAACTAGCTAAGTGAAAACCCAAATTCAGGGGACTCACATGAAGTAGTTTGTCTTGCTTGTAATAAATAATGTGGTTTGAATCAGTGATCGACATTAAATCACAATACCTATCAAACTAAGTAGTATACTTTCCATATCTCAATTATAACAAATACTTCAGGTAAACACACGCAAAAATAATTTACTTTTTCCATCAAGTCCTCCTCTCCTTTACTAAATTTTGTGAGTTCATCCGCAGACGTAAGTAAAACTGTTCCTTTTGTTTCCGTTTGAAGGGCATCAACGGGGCAAGAGAAAATTGCAACTTTTCCATTAAAAACTTCCTTGACCTCTCCTTCAGTTTCCCGTCGAAATACCATACCTTTAATCATTTTCGACTGGTTGACACCAGCACCCTATGAAGTTGTTACGTAAAATGGGTAATTTAGATAAAGTTACATCAACTGAAATACAATAACCAGAAGAGATTTATGTCAAATAATAAAGCCGAGCATTTGAGGTACAGTATCGTTAGTATCAGAATAAGACAATATTTATTGAAGTATTAAAATGGAACTAAAATGTGACAATTAAAGGTAAAACGGTGTAAGAAACTTATTATTCGTCGGCATTTGCGACCATCACGTATAAATCATGCTCATTGAAATTTTAATAGGAAGTCTGACATTAGTAACGGCACTTTGGGAGGCGAATGAAAATAAGTAAACTACATACATTTACGTTTTGATTTGTTTAGAATAAAAAGTAATTTCATGTTTCAATTTTTTTAATTGGATGTATAAATGATTTTCTATCACTGATTTTTTTTATTTAGATGGATTTATGCAAAATACAGTAAAGAACACGAATAGCAATGCACGTTTTTGCTCGGACACAAGTGGACTTGCTAAGACGGACACTAAGTCAAGGCTGATTAATAGAGCAGCCACTGAAAGTGTAGAGGTCTTTGTAACGCTGAATCGGGTGTGATGCCTCATACTTTCCATGCACTGCTTTAAGAAAAGTTAATCACTCAATTCGCTCTCACGCGTGCATTATTTGGAGCGATTGCGATTAAAGGTTGACGTTGACCGATCAAAGATGAAGATATTAAAACTCAAGGATATCCAAGAAATACGAATAATCTATGTCGACACTAAAAATTGTGCAATAGGTATTGGGAACAGCGCTTTTACCTACTTCAAAATGAACTAGAGATATCATTAGAAGACTGATAGACATCAAACACAGAGCTCCCTACAGATGTGCGTTGCCGCGAGCTGTCATACCTGATTAGGACGACGATATGAGTGACATTAGATCAAAGAAATGGAGCGGCAATGATAAAAAAGGTAAGATTAAACCTTACGAATATGATTTAAGAACAGTGGAAAAGTACGTAGGAAGGGATGCTCGGATTCAAGATAGAGGGGCGAAAGATTACGACCGTCACCCGAAGTCATTAGTACAAACTTGGTTAGTTCTTAAACTTGAATATGTAAGACTATTTTTTCGATTTTTCTGGTTTATTGTAAGACAGTAATTAAAGATATGCTTGTGTAACTCAACTATCTCGTTAGATATGGACTATATCTAAGTTCAATTATTTTAGACAGTGAAGTACAGACATTATGGACAAAAATTAGTCACGCCGAGTGTGACTAAATGTTTATTTAATGCATTGAATTTAA